ATATATGTATATCTTACTTTATTTGCTTGCTAAACATTCGGCTAGCTATAGTAGCATTAAGGCATATATAATCGTTGATCGTAGATCGAAATCACTTAACCTAATATTTATGCTATATAAAAATTATTATTTAATTAGCTGAAGCGTTTAAAGTATAAATACAAATTAATTAATTGTAATGATAAAAAAGAGGTGTATGAGTGTTGTCGATATATCGATAATGTTTGTGATGATGCATGTGTATACTGTTCTGTCGTTCTTACTTCGTATTTTCTTCGATTCAGTAGTACGATTCGTACCACTCACCCCTATCTATCTACATTGCCGTCTCCAACGGCTGGCTATAGCTGCGACTGTTCGTGCTTAGCGGCACCATACTCGGCAATTCATCGTCGAAATCCGTCTCCAGCAAAGCTTCCGATCTGGAGAGATGGTATGCCGTCGGTTCGGGACTGGCAGTTTTATAAACAGTCTTTGGACGTCTACCATTCTGGCTGCCATTTTGGCTGTAACCGTGATTCTTGGCGGCCGTCATTGGCTTCGTTGCGCCCATAGCTTGCGGCTTAGACGCCACACCCAGCTTCGCGTTGGACGGTGGTGGCGCCATATGCGTCAACTGCGGTTGCGCCTTTCTACTACGCACCGCTGTATAATAGGAATCTGGCCGTCTCATATCGGGTGGCGGCGTCGGCAGTCCACCAGCAGCCAATTCATGCCGGAATAGTGGCATCCCTTCAGCGCGCTGCGTGACAGGCGTAAAATGTAAATTATCGATCTTCTGCTCGTACGACAGCGTACTGGAATGCGAGTCATTGCTCAATTGTGAGCTGCTTGTGGGACGCGTTGTCCCACCATTGGCGCAGGACAGAAAACTGCTGTGACTTTGCCGATGTGGCTTATTGTAGGCGGGTGGTGGTAAATTCTGCTTCAACTCACGCAGGAAAGAGAGGCTCTCATTGCCGCCGCTGTGTAGCGGCAAAGTGCTCGCGTTGCCGTAGTAATCTGAATTCGCATCCTCGGTGTCCGTCTGATGTATGATGGGCGTATCTTCGGCAATGCTTGTGGCCACAGAAGTTGTAAGCGTGCTAGCGTAAGTGGAGTTGTCACGGAAACCTTCATTGCGGTAGGATAGCTCGAATGAGTCTGGTAGCCAGGGTGTGCGACCGCGTGCGGTGGACGCCTTCGAAACGGAGCCGATGGTTGCAATTTTGTAGGGTTCATTCGATTTGATGGCAGCACCATTTGCGCCTCCCTTTACCGAGTGCTGAGTGACATAATCGTTATAGCTCGGTTTTTGATACCCGCTCGGATGCGCAGTTTGATTGTCGTATGCCTCAAAGCTCGCTTCGGAGCTAAGCACGCTTTTGTCCATGGAATCGATGGAGCCGTTACCCATCATTTTGTAGTCTTGACCCAGCTGCTTGGAGAGCGTGCCAGTCGACGTGGACATGTTCTAATGGACCAAAGATATTGGTAGGGGAGAAAATAAAAAAGTGGAAAAAAATAAAATGATAAATAAAAACAAAATCAAATATAAATTAGGGTATAATAAGGAAATAAGGACATAAATATTTTATAAGTTAAAATCAGTACACTATTGGGTGAAATCAAGGAAACCGCGTCGGTATTAACACAGTCGAATCTGAGTTTCGGGTCGGAATTTTTTATCTTACATATCTAATCTTTTTTGGGTAAAAATGAAAAACGAAACTGAAATACGCAAATCGCTTAACAAAAACTATGCAGCTTATGGATTGCTCGGCTTACACACCCGAGTTCCTGTTAACAAGCCGCATAGAATGTGGCAGGAGTAGGAGGTCTCTGTCTGGGAACGTCATTACATTGAAGAATACACAGCAGCCGTAATTAATGACCTATGGATCAATCGTGGCGACTGTAAAATCTCAACATCCTCATGGCCGAGACTCAAGCAATACTGAAAATTTTTTGAAGCTAAACAAATCTGCAGCAAGGGCTTTTACTGGCGTCATCACAGGGTACTGTACTGATGGCGTAACCAACAAGCTGCCACTACAGAAGTTGTCTTAATGAGAGAAAAGAGGATTGGATTCACCACTTCCTGTGTCAATGCCTAGCTCTCCAGACAAGGTATCTCAAGCATTTGGGTTCACGCTTTTTCAATAGTTCGGGGGAGATAGCGGAGGTGAAATGTTTTAGAACACTATATTGACTATATGGCATAACTTCGGTTAGAAGGATATGCCTTCTCCTGCCTCCGAGTGGAAGCACGATTCAATCGTACGCGCCTTCCTAACCTATCAATTTGAACAACATAATTTTTCAAGGTCGTTTTCAACCGCCAGTTAGCTATAGATGGGCAATCAATTGCTTCAAACCTAACAAGTGCCTGGGTTTGTACGACATATCACTCGCCGAGCTTTAAGCAGCATCAGCTTTGTTCAGTCCTTTATTGACTTTTACCTATAAGGAACCCGCATCCCCAAAATGTGAACAATAGTGCGAAAGGGTTTCATTCAACAAGAAGGCAGATCCCCTTATGTGAAATCAAGAAACTTTTGATCTATAAGCCTTACCTCCTATTTATGAAAACCTTAGAAAAGCTTCTAGATACACATATACAATATGTAAATCCGATATAGCTACATCACAGTAAGCTATCAAACTGCTAACACGTCTACTCTAAGGGCAGATCTATCGAAAAGGTCCTAGACTTCTAGGAAATAGCCTCAGGAGTTTTTCTGAATATAGAAGAGACATTTAATAAGGCCATGCATGTAGATGCAATGGTAAACCCTTCACTCAACACAAAGACCTTCAATACCTGCGGCATATGAGCAAATCTCAAGAGTTGCTTTTTTAAGGTCACTCCCTTCTCTCGCCAGAAAAAAAAAACGCTAAAGCATTCTTCTTGCATTTACTTCAATCAATGGAGTTCCAGAAACAAGTTCTTCAAAAAATAAATCAAGTATTTAAAAACTTTTTTTTAGCGAAAAATCATAATTGTTTTTTTTTAATAACTTTTGGAAGTTTTGAGATAAAATGTTTTTATTAGAGGCAATGAAAGTTGGTACCAATAAACAACATATATGTGAAGTTTCAAAAGTGCGCCACCATATTAAAAAAAGGTATTTTAAGATTTGTGAAATTTAACTATTTTTTCATTTTAAAAGTTTAAGATATGTGCTTCAAAATGTAGTTAAACGGTGAAAATGTTCTTTTTGCTTAACCGAACCAATCTAGTGTAGATAATAAAACTAGTGTGTCAACAAATGAAAAAAAATTACTATGATTTGTGCTACAAAAATTCCAAAAAAGTCGCCAAAAATTCGTACTGAATACAAAATGCACCGTAATGCAAAAATGAATGCCCCACTTTTCTAGGACATCGCCGTGGGGAAAAAAACGCATTTTCGAATGTGAAAAGGGCTGTTTTACTGATTATTTTTTCGATTACTATACATTACATTTTCCCACTGGGTACTGGGTAAAATTGCAAGATTTGGTCACTTAAAAAATAGTACTGGACATCTTTCCTGTTAACTTTAAATTGCCAGACTAAATGACAGCGTCCTCTCTGTTTTGGAAGAAGACTTTACCACCCAGATTCCCTCGAGGAATGAATGTGTAGTAGATACAGTCTTGAAAGCTTAATCTAACTATACTGCTATAGACACCGATGCACAGTGGCCAATAAATGGAATTTAATGGTCATAATTCACTGGAGCCTTAATTTCTCAACCAATTTGATTCTTTTTTTGTAAATAAAAGCTTATAAAATTTTCAAGAGACTAGTTGAGCCCGATTTTTTTTTTTTATTATATTAAGTTGTTTAGTGCAAAGTGCAGAAAAAGTGGAAATTTTGAAAAAGATCGATTCTCTATTCCAGTTAATAAATTTTACATAATAAAAACTAGTTGAAAACAATAGTAGGGTTCTCTAAAACGAAAAAAAATAAATAATAATAATTTAAAACAGGGTTCGTATTTGCACACACATGCTCTGCTCACACACACGCCAGAAACACATTCAACTTGCACTCACTGCATAAGTGGAAAACAAACTCTGCTCACAGAAAAGTGTGTGCTGTTTGTTATTAAGCACATGCACATGTGTGTGAGCCGATTTTTGTACAAATTTCAGCCCATGCACATGCACATAATATATTTTTAAAAGAATTTGTTTATTAAACGTTAAAGACTATTCAATAAAAAGTGAGATGTTGTTTGCTTTTATATGACAGAAAACATATTAAAAAATTATTTTAAGATTTGAGTTAGAAATCGAAGTGTATAAGTTTCTCTACGCAAAGCACACACATGTGCGTGTGCTTTATATTAATAAAAATAAAGTACACACATGTGCCCGTGCTTTTTACCAAACGGCACACACATGTGATGTGAGCAAGTTTTTAATTTTTTATATGCACAGCACACGTGTGTGAGCGTAAAATGTTAGGATGTGCTGCGCATGTGTGTGCAAATACGAACCCTGATTTAAAATGTTACAATTTTTTTTTGTTTTGGTTTTTATAAAATATTTGGGTACGCAGTTTTATATACCTTTAAATTTTAGTATAATAAAGAGCAAGTTGCAAGTGGCTAAGAGCTCGCGTTGATTTTCAATAATATTTATAACAAACGCTTTTATTTCCCACTTAGCATGCAGATGTGTAAGCGAAAAAATTATTAAAAATCAACGCGAACTCTTAGCGACTTGCAACTTGCACTTTATTGTGCTAAAATTTAATGGTCTATAAAACTGAATACCAAAAATTTTTATAAACACCAAAAACAAAAAAATACTTTTGGTGAACATTTTTTATAACATTTCAAATAATTTTTTTTTAATATTTTTCGTTTTGGGAGAACCCTACAATTTTTATCAACTAGTTTTTATAATGTAACATTTATTAACTGGAACAGGAGAATCGATCTTCTTCAAAATTGCCACTTTTTCAGCAATCTGCACTAAAAAATTTAATATAAACAAATAAAAAATCAAAAATCGGGCTGAACTATCTCTTGAAAATTTTATAAATTTTTATTTAAAAAAAAAATTTAATCAAATTGGTTGAGAAATGAAGGCTCCAGTGAATTAGGAACATCAAATTGGTGGTGGTGTATACTCGCAGAAAAATTTACTTAGTAAAAAAGAAAGTTTCCGAATTACCACATTACTGCAATGCGGTTCAGTTCAGTTTGGGTTAAATCAGCTAACAAATTTAACTAAACTAATAAATTAAAAAAAAATTAAAACAAATAAAATATAAATAAATTAACTAAACTAAATATTTACAAAATAGAAATTAATAAACGTATAATCATACAAAGTTTCGTCGCCGCAACGAGCCCTGCGGATCAATGCTATTCAAGCTTCGCAAGCTCTGGCGTATGCTATTACGGCGCTGCAAACGTTGAGCGTGTCGCTGCTTCGATTTGGCATACCAACAGAAGGCGACCATTAGTAGCAAAATTATGGCCAAAATGAAGGCGGAAATTATGCTGACCGCAAAAATATCGGCGCGCCAAGAGAGTGGATCGATGACGACCTAGAAGAGAGAAGGGAGAAATAGAGTTGAAAGGTAAATAAATTGTGAAAATACGCCAAACTTACCCTTGGATCCGTTTCACAAATGAAACCGAACTCATTGCCGCAATCTTCCACCTCCGTTGTGGTAAAGGCAAAGCTCGTACAGCGATCGATGTGATTGAAGTCTTGGATCCACACTTTTTCGGTGTATCTGAAAAAGTGTTTTTTTTTTTTTGTTTCAAGTAATTAACTAATTTCGTTAAATATTCGTAATTTATTTTCAAACTCACTTCAAGTGCCGCATTTGTCCTTGCAAATACTTCCACAACGTTGTGCTGTCGGTGCGTATGAAAGGCATCGTCGAGTTCTCGCTGCGGCAGAAGGCGCGCGCTTCATGGAATGTCAAAGGTGCGCCTACATAAATGAAGCAGGTATCCTGCAGCAGCGCCCAACCGGGCGGACATTTGCCATCGAGTATGGTGAGATTGTTCATTTGGAAGGGCACCGCTTGCACCTCGAACAAAAGAGGATCGTCTGTGGTGTGGGATAAATGAAATTTTATAAGAAGACTTTCTTATTCTAAAAATTTCAGTCACACCCACCTGATTTATCGCGTATGCGCGACTGCACCGATATCGTATTGTTATAGCTCCAATAGTTGTGTCTAGCTTCGATCTTGGAGCGCCAGAGTTCAATGGTGCTGGGAAAGGAAAATGGTAAACAATTGATGAGCAGGATTTAGGAAACTTATATATGTAGTTGCAAATTGATATTTAGTTTTATGCTCTACTTTTATACAAATTTCTTCCATTTGTTTTTCACTTACCTATTGATCACATAATCAACATTGAAACTACAGTTAAGATTGGCGAGCGTGTAAGTAAACGTCTCATGCATAGTTCAGGCACGTAGTTTACAGTAGATAGTTATTATGAAGAAGTGTTTAAAAATAGAAGTGACATCAGTTTAAGGTAGGATTATAAATATTTCGAGCAATGAAAGATGAAAAATTTTTAAGTGTAACCGATTGCTCGGAGATTAATTTGTAATAATGAGCGAGGGAAGTTCCCTAAAATGTAGTCAAATATCCCATTTATTGTACTTACATGGAATTATTCACAGTTATCATTTCGTAATCATTCTCAGGATTCTCGAAAATATTCTCCACATATTGCTGACCCGCTGTGCCGGCTACAATTGTCGCGCGACCCATCCAATTCGTAGCGACATTGCTGTTGGAAAATAAGTAATAAAATTTGTTATGTATTAATGAAAAATGATTGTGAAAAACAGCTATAGTTTCCTAAGGGTAAAAGCTTTTTTTCTTCCACAAATCAACTTTAAGCTGACTGTTAAGCTACACAAACGAGTTTGCTTTTTATCTGAAGACCAAACCATATCCCGAAGGATATGCGTTTTAAAGCATTTTATAAATTTTAAATGGACACACATAGAGTAGAAGCTCTCTCCGATCGTTACTGATCAAAATTGTTTCTAAGCTGGCTAACAAATTTCCACATGTCTAAGACCGTCACGATTGCAACATATTACGCGGGACTAGGTTTTTGCACTCTTTTTGATGTTTAAGCATCTTAGCTCTTGGTGTGGGTAAAATTTGCGTCACCCCAGCAGAAAATTTGTAACTGCTTCTAGTGTGCACAAATGAATATTTCCACACTATTTCACGGCTATTTTAGGACCATTTCCGGGCTAATTCGCGGTTCGTTTAGGACCACTTTGGGACTAGTTCGGCGCCATTTCGGGACATGTACAGAATTATTTCTAATTAAGAAACATATCGGGATTACTTGGAAATCATTTCGGGACTATTTGGGACACGTGCTGAACCATTTCGACTGTACTTCAGGGATGTTCAGGAACATTTCGCAACCAGTACGGGATCAGTTTGGGACGAGATGAGAATCATTTCGGTATTTAAGTGAGGTTAAGGACTCACTTATACATTTGGGAGATCGGCCTTTGTGTTACCACTTTCTGAACGGCACCCAATACTTAATCGATAAAACGCCTCGAGCCGATTATATAATTAGGAATTAGGAATGCCTTAGAGCTACTCGGGGCTATTAAGGATATGAGAGCCAAAGTAATTCAAACTTAGTCTCGAAAACGGCACCTGGGCACCTAAGAAGGTAGTGTGGACGCCACCTCGACATCTTCTAGTCAACTGCGACATACGGGATCAGGTAATATTTTTAGCATTACTGCGTGAATACCGATTGGACAGTGAGCCACGCGTTAAAACCCGCACCAAGAGTGAAAGCTGTGGCTTTGTTAGTGTGAATTTTCGGGACTAGCCCTGGCCTACTTTTGCACCATTTTGGGATAATTTTGTGACTAATAAAGGATCCTTTTGAAACTGACAACAAAAACTTTTTCGACCCTTTCGGGGCCAGTTCAGGACCGTTTCGTTGCTATTTCCGGACTGTTTAGGGACTAGGTCACCACTTTTTAAGGAAAATTTCGGCACTAGTTCAGAACTGTGTCAGAAACATTTCGGGGCAATTTCGAGATTAATTTGGGACTATTTTGGCATTGAGTGGTGAGAGATGCGTTCTACCATTCCATAGGACTTCAGTTCTATTCCTGGTCTTGGCAACATCTATATTAATTTTGTTTTTTATCTGAAAGTGGTCGCCCCTCGGCAGGCAATGGCAAACCTCAGAGTGTATTTTTGCCATGAAAACCCTCATAAAATCCATTTGCCGTTCGGTGGCGGCGTGAAACTGTAGGTTCTTCCATCTGTGTTAGAACAGCAGGACGGACACCACAGAACTAGCCAAAAAATTTGAAATTTTGATGAAAATAAATTTTTTTTTAAATTTTCTACTAAGTTTGAAACTTGCGTTCATATTATTTTAGTTATATGTGACCTGGTCTACGAAAAGGGAGCTTACGTGCGAAAACTAG